AAAAACACCCAATGTAATTTACAAATTCCTGAAGTATTTTGTTTAGGATAAATAAAACATGCTCCGTTCAGATATTTTCCTATTTATGTAGCCTACCTTGTTCCAGCAATGCTTCCAGGATTTATTGACTTCAGATTCAGTATAATTGCAGATAGATTATGATTGACATGAACATGTGGTTCCAAGAGAAATATGATATTATGAAGAAATAGATATCCTACTGGTCATGTACCATCAAAGTGAAAGGAGGACCAAAAGTATTAATTACATTCATGATGTATACCATGTTATAACAGCTGACTTGTTGATGCCAGTTGAATATATGAGTGGCAGAGAATTATTTATTCAAATTAACCGCATCATTTACTAGCAGGCCTTTAGATCTCTCTCTCTCTATATATATATATATGTATTAGAGAGAGAGAGAGAGGGAGAGAGGGGTTGTATGGGGTGAGATACAGAGAGGCGCAGAGGAGATGTTAACCTGTAATTGGATATGGTAGGCCTATTGTTGTTGTTTTTTCTGTATCATTTTCTCCCTCAGTAGACAGGTTGTCGTAATGACCCACCAAAATAACCGGCCAAAAAGTGTCGCCCTTCATTGGGTGTTGGCGTTTTACGAATTATGAACACCTGTGTGAGACCAGGGGATAAAATAGGTTCCCCAAGGTCGAAACAGTCGAGTATCCGCTTGTTTTTGAATTTACTAGGGGCTGACCTTTGTCCGAGCTGATTATAAAGAGTGCAATCCCCTTGTGAGGAAAGAAATAATCCGAAATGTCCCCGATGGTGGACCAGCATTATCTCCAGTGGAACAATACGCAGCACTTCACACGGACGGGTCAACAAACTTCAAACACTCCTCGGTACCCAAACATCCGCAGATGATGGGCACTCAGTGACACTTGTAAGTGCCCTCTGTGTCCACTGTCCTCCCCTGTTTCCACTTCCTCGGCCTTCTCGGGTCCCCGTTTCCGAAGATCTGGTAGTCTTTATTGTAAGAATATAAACCGCGAATGACAATAAACAATGACATATCACCGGCTATGTTGTTCAATGTAAAAACTGGGAAAACTCAGGTTTAAAAGAAGATCCACACCACTGCGAATCTCACTCAATAGTGACGTGGACTTGTACTCAATGTAAGTAAATACTGGGACTGATCGGATTTTAAAATAGATCGAAACGATAGTAAAACTGAAACTCACACATGGGGATATTTGGGTTGGATTCGATCGAGATGCTCGGGAAAAATCGACAAGATTAAAGCGGCCAGGGCTTTCGTGGACAACAAGGCTGAATTCGCCTCGGAATTTCGAGTTCTTTGCCCGTTATTTGTGTTTCTTCATGTGGATGCAGTCACACTCACTCACTCAATCAATCTATTCAGATATGTCCCAGATTGCTCAATATAAGACATAGAAGGCAATGTCAACACTGTCATCTCTACCTCCCACTGAGTAGGGGCAACTGATTTATTATACGAGGACACCTGGAATATCCCATA